AAATTTCCTAATTTATCTATTGATTTGTGGTTAATATTGGTTCTCACAGTTACCACAAAATAATTAGTTCTCATTTGATTAGGCCCCTATATATATATATATATATATATATATATATAACAAAACATATTTTTAAACGTATTTATATAAAACATATTAAAAATAACATATTACAAACATATTAAAAAAAAATTAAATAAACAAAAATTTGAAAAAAAAAATATTTTTTTTGCCGGGACCGGATGGGACCGGTTATGGGACCGGAACCGGGACCGGATTCCTTAACCGGTTACCGGTAAGCTTGACCGGTTACAAGGTATTTCACCAGAACCGGGACCGGGACGGTTATGGCAAGACCGGTTACCGCTGGTTTTTGTCTTGATTAGGACCGGTACGGACCGGTTAAGGACCGGCCCGGGACCGGATTTTGGCCATCTCTACTTCCTAGTTACCTTTTTGTGGTTTTACCCTTTGATTCTCTATTTTGTCACTTTGTGAATTGTTTTTGTATAAATAGGGGAGACTCTTATTAATTCATCCAAAATCAGCTCCTAAAATATGGTTTCTCTCTCTAAACCTTGAAGAAATTTAAATTTTCTAATTCCTTTTAAGATTGTTCTTTATTTTCCGTCATTTAATTTTCGTTATTTAATTTCCGCTCTTTTATTTTTTGCTATTTATATTACGTCATTTACTTTACGCAATTTATATTTATGTCTTTATTTTTCGTTATTTATTTTATTTGTCATTTACTTTCCGTTATGAGTGGCCAAATTCATAGCTTGGGTGTGAGACGAAAGGGTGAGATTTTAAACCGAAAGAAATAAGTTATTGTTTGCAATAATGACATTCCATTATTTCATTCAAGTTTTTATAAAAAACAAAGACACTTCTTGACGAGTTGATCACTTTGAAAGTGTTAAAGTGTCATGGTCTTAGAGATAAGCCATTGAATGCACGTCAACTTCAATGATATAAGAAGTAGACTTGAGAAAGTTGCCGACAAGGAGACTTGTCATTTATATCTTTTAAAACAACTAATTCTCGACGAGTTGGTCACTTGTTAAAGTGTTAAAGTGGGGTAGATTCAGAGATGAACTACCTAGAACACACACCAACTTGAATGATATGGGAATCGACTCGAGAGAGTGATTTTTAACAAAGAGATTTGTTTATCCATATATTTTGAGGACATTATTCGTCACTATCCCTGGTTTGGATACCACATAGAGATATGGGTTGAAAGCTATAATATAGTGCAATGGTAAAAGCTCGAGAGGAATACCCTCAAAATAGATGGTGGAACTAAGTTATGAATAACTGCTTGTTGTAGCATCTCTACAACATTGGCTACTGGAATCCGTGTTTGAGTCTCACCACTAGTCTTACACCCCATGCTATCTTTGTTTATTCAGTTATTTGCATTTATTAACTCAGTAAAAAATCAAAGTCTTCAAATTCGCCATCTGAAGTTAGTCTTTCAACTCGAGATCTTGCAACTTAAAATACCTATCCCTGTGGAATAAGATACTTGCTTCTTACCATTTTATTACTTGATTGCGATAGTGTTGACACGTGTATACTTGCATGTGTTACCACTTAGTGTTGTAGAGATACAATATCTAGCTCCCATCAGATCTTCACCCTGTAATTGCAAAGAAGGGATTTTCTCACTAGATCTTCCGGTCTAACCCTCATTTTGTATTTTAAAATATGCATTGCAGGTCCAGCGCGGTCAAGGGATAAAGGGAAGGGGAAAATGTAAATATTTTCCTTATGTGTTTATCTGTATTTTGAAGATCAATCTGTTGAATGATGTATTTTGGAGGATACATGTTGTTATACATATGATAGTGCAATAATATTCTTTTGAAATTTTTGGGTTGTAATTCTTGTATATAAGATTCTGGTACTAGTGGGACATTTGTGGTGCAAATTGTATTTCTTTTATATGAAGTACATATTATATGTAAATTGGAAGTATGGGGTGTTACACATTACTCCTCGGTAATATCCCTCTAGCATATGAACTAGAGACATAAGCAAGTTATAATTCTGCGAGAAAGAAATACAATGTATTTCATTCTCTAAGAAGCACCAGAAAACCATAGTTGTGCACTTTGATCAGACAAATAAAGCAATAATA